CACAGCTGATTCTGATGATTGCAGTTCAGCAAATGCCTTTCAATCAGCTATCAATGAAAATCAGCTTTGCTGGAACAGGAATACTCAAAACCCTGCATGGCAGTGGCCCTCGAGGACCGACTTTGGGCATGCCTGATTTAGATTAAGGGTTTAATCAGGAAAAAAACACACTTAACACAACAGAAGGTAGCAAACTGGAAAATTTAATTGACAAGTTAAACTGAGGGCTTAAAAATAACAGAGAACAGGTGCAAGCAATAGGCTAATTAAAGAGACACAGGTAAGCGTGATCTACTCATTAAATGTTGGCTCTTGCTGATGGAAATATAGTTAACAGGCCAGATAGGGAGGAAATCAACATTTCATCCAAATGTAATAAACAGATGACAGCACCAACAATTGAATTTATAAACTAATGGAACAAACTCAAAAACCCTGCAGATAGACACATGCTATATCCAATGCTCTTGTTTCTCTCTTTCAAATTTATCCCAATTTATGTTTTAATGGTAAATAAAGATTTAAATTGTTATCTTTAAAAGTACCACAGTTTTCGTTCAGTCTTAGCACATCACAATTGTAACATATTCTTTGTTAACCAAAGAGTGAAACTACCATTGTCCGTAAAACACAAAAAAAATCATTTTTTTTAGTTTAGTCACTCAGACGTTGTAGCCATGAAGTGGTTTCAGTGTTTATTGAGAAGCGTCTGTTGTAGATAATATATTCTATGGCAGGTGAAGATATCTTACCTTGAATAAATAATGATCCACTATCAACTTTCTGCAGATGTGAGACGGTACCAAACATAATTTGATCTCTCTAGCTGTGCCAGGCTGCCACAGAGTCTTTCTACATGTTCACACTTTAGAGACATGTTTAGAAATGGAATGTGAAAGAAGCAAAAATTCATAGTAATAGTCAAGATCCTATAATACCACGACTCATTCTCATGTTTAACTATGCAGGCGCTCTGTCTTCCCTGAGGAAGATCAACTCCCATTGGTATGCCAAATATTTGGAATGGCTGACATGGCTGAAGAGTTGAATTTATGTTCCGAGTAATTCAGCCTATCATTATCTGACCACTTAGTTCAGTTATTATTGAACTTTCATCTTTGGGAGAGCAATCAATCTTACCACTCACTTCCACTAAACATGCAAGAGGTTGTTTCTGCCAGGCACACTGTTCCATTGGCAGCATTTTCAGATTGCAGTCACTATGTGTGGTTGTACTCAGATAATGCCAGGATTGTGTCATCAAGCTACTGTAGACATAGACTTAAGATATATTTGTCTAAGTCTATATGGTGATGTTTACATTTAAACATTATCATTATAAAGCACAGTAGTGATCAGAACGTAAAACATGTAGGAGTTTAAAAATAATGGTACAAAAGGGCATTAATATGAAAAAGTTGAGTGTGGTGCAAAATGCAGTAGAACAGATAGATTTGTCCTATTTAAGTGCTTTTTAAGTATTTAAGTATTCAATAATGTACTTGTAGGCATTGAAGTCGAACAATAAACCAGTAAAGTGGTTATTTAGCTTGTACCATCTGCATATTGCATGCCTGCTCTTTACCTAATCAGCTCCTTGCCTTGTTTTCTTTGGATCTATCATTAGTTAGTGAACTCAAATATGTTGTTTTTCAGTTTTTTTATTTTATTTAATGCTCATATTTATAATAGCTGTCAATTAAATTTATCACATTTGTTTTTAGGCAGCAGGTTATTACCTGATATACAATACTCTTTATGCTAACACTCTTCCTGATATAGATGAATATAGGGAAAAGCTTGTTTGAATAAGGTCAAATTGTAAATCACTTAGCTTTCCATTCTTTCTGCAGAATGGCTGTGCACTTTTTTTTCTCACAGATTTACACACTTTGCTGTGGACGGAAAGCATATTTCTGGTTTAAACGGAAAACGATTACCGTATGCATTCATGTTATTTTACTTTTTTTTTTTGGACACTACCAGAGGATTTCATGGGAAAATGAAATCAAACATTAGCTAAAGTTATAACTAATAGTTCTGGTTCAACTTAATTTAACTCTGGGAATGGACAGTAGCTTAGCTTAATGGTCATTTGTTAGGTACAGTTCTCTGTTGCTGATTTATTAAGATGACAGCAATCAGATATTTGAATAAAAGTTCCCTAAATCAAGCACAAAGTGATATTGACCCATCTTGATTAGTTTAGTGTAAAGCTTTGAGCTGTGCATATCTCCAAACTCAGCCAAAAAAAGTTTCTTCAAACTCTAGTTCAGAACAGAAAGTGATTTATGTATGCACTTGCTCTTGACCCGTTTAAAGGCCCAACTTAACTTGCTGAGTATGGATGTACCTATTCTTAGGTAAATATTACATAAAGCTGAGATAAATGCACCTCCTCTCCAGCACATTCTTGGCTCATGAGATATGAGGGTAAGCGCATGTGAATTTATAGAAAATAAAACAAGGGCACATTTTTTTCACAGCCGTCTTTTTTAAAGTTACATCTCATTCAGTCAATATTTCTGGGATACTCTTCATCTTGAAACTGCAGGACTTGAAGTTAAAAGACAAATTTAGAGAGTTATTAAGGTCGTATTCTTTAAAGTAGTGGCGGTTCTTCACATGTGTAATATGTTTACTTACCCTGAGGATATTTGGAGCTATTAAGGGCAAACAATATATTTTAAGCCTTTCTATTTCTTTGTTGTGCCTTTAATGAGCTTTAAATTGCCTATCTGTGTATTCAAACTGTGTTAACCGAGTTAAGCTCAGCATTGGCTACCTAAATTACCTATTGTTAGTAACAGCATGTTTACTGAAGCTTTTGGTGGGAGTCCTACTTAGGAAAAGACTAAGTAGAGAAGCTCCATATCTGCACAAATGTAATAAAAAAGGCCAGAGTATACTAAAAAATGTCCAAAGTGGTGCTAATTTTATTATTTTGCAGGAGCTCGGAGGGGGCAGAAACATTTTGCAGGGCAGCAAGAACATCCACTGAAACCAAAAGCCACATTCAGTTATCTGCAGCAGAAAAAGTAATGATAAAGTGGGATGTAATGTGCTTTTTTTTTCATATTCAAGTAATTCATGTATGGGGGAATAGAAAAGCTGACTCGCAGGGACAAAACCTCCTCTGCCTCTTTATGGAGCAGACTAACGCCTGTTTTTTTGTAATTCCTCAGTGACAGTTTAGTTGCTATTCACTGCACACCCAAAGGTTGTCACGTCTCTGAGAAAAGTGAGGGGAAAAATAAAAACATCCCCTGTAGACAGTTTGTTCCCCAGCTTGACCAATTACACGTCTGGATCATAGAAAATGCAGGAAAAGCTGTTTAATACTCTTTCTTCTTGGCTTCTCTCTGCGGAGTCAGCATAATTAAGAATTATTTCTCTGTCTCTGCTAGTCATACTGAACATCTTTGCTCTGTTGTGTGAAGTAGGGTTCTTACAGTTCAGATATAATATATAATTCCAACATGCTGTGACCGAATATTCCTTAAATGTGTTATAACCCCTAATGTCCAAGGTATCAGTAAGTGCTTTAGTTCATCTTTTTAGAGTTGCTTGTTAGACCAAATACATGCATAGCTTGAAATAGTCCACTGTGCTTACATAGAGATCCACTCAAAGAGTCGGATGGATGGATGGATGGATGGATGGATGGATGGATGGATGGATGGATGGATGGATGGATGGATGGATGGATGGATGGATGGATGGATCAAAATAATCTGTTTTTGTCCTACATGTATCAAGAGTAAAGAGTAACTAAGTAAGTAATAGAAATCAGCTTTAAATCTCACACTTTATTCATCAATATCATCTTTCCCTTAAAACTCTTAAATATCTTTGACAAATATCAGAAAGAAATCCAATCATTTGCAACATGTTTATGATACAAACTTTATATACTAGTATGCAAGTGTTTGAAATGTCTCACAAAAAGGCTACCTCTCAGCAACACCATGTCGGAGTTTAATAATGTGATATTCTCAAGCTAAACAGTGGGATAGTACTATATCAAATTCCAACTATAGGCCAGATGAATAAGTAATGATATTCAGAACAAAATATCAAATCTGAGAGCAGCAGCCTGGAGTGACTGTGAGGAGATCCCAGAACAAAGGACTGGTGCTGTGCAGCAGACACGGCTCAATAATCTGAACTGTCCATGGTGCTGGAAGAAAATCTACAAAAGAAAAAAAACTGAGGTTTCTGAGGCATACCAGGCTTTGGGAATGGGTTTTCATACACCACCAATGTTAATATACAATCTTACTGAAAGAAATAAAAAAAATTGTGAAGAGGTGTTTTATTTAAGTGACTCATAGACTACTTACACAAAGAGCTATGCTTTCAAGCCTCATTTTCTGTTAAAAATATTAATTTTTTATGACAAAAAATAAAAACATAACATTAAAGTTTAGAATAAACCAGAGCAATAAAAAGTTTAAATGAATCTTCTTTTGATATTAAAATATGGGCTTATTGATGAGTAGAGTAATTTATATTGAAAAAGCATATTAGTCTAAGAAACAAGGATATTCCATATTTGATAGACTACATATTATGATTTGAAAGACTGCATTTCATGGCCATGATCATTAATATGTGTGTACCATATGTGGACAGAAAAAAATCACAATAATTACCGAGCTGTACAACCAATCGCTGTTGTAAACATTTTTGAAGTTGTTTAATGTGTGATTAGGCCACGATGGGAAAAGACTGGTTGAACCGCATCAAATGTCCAATCTTTTATGGCATAGTTAGTGTACATACACTTTCCACACAGCTAGCTTAGTTTTGAGTTCTGCTACATTTCCTCAGGTATTTAAAATCTTGTTTATACTGAGCTTCTTTAACAGACAACCGCACCCTGATAACTATCAGCAACACATTATCAGAATTATCAGAGGTTGAAAAAGTTAATCTGATACTATTAAAAAAAGCATTTATTTCTTACTCCTCTATACCATCTCCTGTTTCCTCCACAGACAGTAATTTCTTGCTGGGTAATGCCCAGGGCCACCGTGGCTACCCCATCGTTTACTGCTCTGATGGGTTCTGCGAACTGACAGGCTACACCCGTACTGAGGTGATGCAGAAAAACTGCACCTGCCGCTTCTTGCATGGTGCTGACACCTGCGAACATGTGGCCCAGCAGATAGAGAAGGCTCTGGAAGGACGAGAGGAATACCAGGCCGAGGTCCACTTTTACAAAAAAAATGGTGAGTGCAAAAAACAAAACAGTTCTTAATGATATTTGCTGTAAAAAAAAAAGAGCTATTTTTTTCATTTTGAAAAGTGCTTATTCTGAATTGTTGAGGTATTTCTCATGTCTGGCTAATTGGAAGACAATTATAAAGAAATTAGGAGTGGTTTAGAGCATTTGTTCAGCTCTTGTCATTTGGATTTCTGGATTCGGTATTGATTTTAAAATACCTGTGGATCAGGTAGGAGCACCATAGCTTTAGTTAATGTATTTCTTTCTTTTATTACATTGTTCAAGCAGGATTTTTTTTACAGCATCTCAAAGATTAAACTTATTTGTAGGTTAAACCTGATCATTTCAGTTGAATTAGAAATGCAGACAGCGATTCTTTTGAAGAGTTGCATTCTTGTTGATATTCATAATTACAAACACAAACAAATCAGATGTTGAGAAAATGAGAATCAGCAGAACACTCTTATTAACAAATCTTTAACCTGTACTGGAAGAAGTGCATTAAAGAGGTGTGGTGTGAATAAGAGAGCCTCGACTTGTTTCCTCGACTTGTTTCACAGAACAATGTGTTTCTACTCCATATGAAATGAACCCCCTCCCTGCTGACATTTTGCTAATCCCTCAGGAAGCTGAAACATGCTGTCATACATGAGCAGAGAGCCCATGCCATAGTCGTGTTTAAGCCTAAATGATTGGCGCTAAGGATTATACAGTATGTGTTCAACAGAAACCTGCAGCCTCAAAATGTGTGAAGTAATAGGTTAGAAATTATCCACTGTTGCTAAATGTGATTTCTTTCTAATCTTCTAAAAAGCCTAAAAATGATGACAATTTTTATTTCATTTCTATTCTTTTTAAACCATGAAGGTTTAGTAATAAGAAAAGTAGAATCTTACAGTTTTAGATCTTAAAAGCAGATCCACAGTCTTTACTGCGCGCTGCTTGGATCAGAGTGCCACACACCACAATTTCTACTGTTTTCTTTTTTCATACATACGCCAAGTACACTAAAAGAGCTGATGAAAAACATTGACGAGGCAGCAGAGCATCGTTTCTGCACATCTGCTAATGAAAAAACTGGATACTGATGAGGTATGATGTCTTTAGAATAGACTACAATAAAACAGAATAGAATGCAATAGAGTAGAATAGGATAAAATCGAATAGAATATTATATAATATGATAGAAAAATCCTTCATTGTCCCACGTGAGGAAGCGTAGGTGTATCATATGCCATTAGAGAAACATTTGACAAAATATTAAAAAACCATCAGACACGGGGCACTCAGATCAAATGAAATGAGCAACAAAGTTGGTTGATTTTGTATTTATCAAATATTATGCATAAAAAGAGTAATGGGTAAACTAAAAATAACAGCAGGGATGTGTCACTTTGTGCACGATTCTTCAAAACATGTCAGGAAAAGTCTCAAGATTTTTTTACCTCTGACGTGCCATCTTCATTTTTCTTAAAGCAAATATAAGTAACACTAAGTAAGTAACTTGAATCTACATGAAGTAAAGTTTTAGTTTTAACTTTTTTGCAGCTTTTGTTCTCCTTCCAAAATAACTTTTTAAGTCTCTGAACTCATTAAAAAAGCAACACTTTTCTTAGTGAGAGCAGAGAGCAAAGGAAAGGTGGGGAAGTGGCCACTCTGTTTAGAGATACTCTCAAGTTTAAAAATGCATTTCTGAGCAAAAATAACTCCTGATTATTTGGCTCACCAGGTAAAGAGCTCGGTTCAAACCATGTTTATTAATATTTACAGGCTTCCTAAGTGTAAAACCAACTTTTTTAGTGATTTTATAAGCCTCTTATTTGTGATAAGTGTTGATTATGACTATATAATTATTAACACATTGATGATCCTGAAGACAGAGGTGCAATAGAACTAAGAGAGTAACCAATTTATTAAACATCAAATGAACACATAGGGACATATTTTGGACGTGATCATGACTAAGGGTCGAAAATTTTTTTAAAGTGTCTGTAACTGACGTCCTACAACAAACAGAACTTTCTGTTATTTTTGTAAGCGTGATTTCCACTGATTCAGCTAGCCATCATAGAAAAAAACACTTCTTCAAGGATGGTGATACTAACACCTTCAACTAGATTTATTCCTCTACCTCCACTTTGACCTCTAACTGTAGATGAGCTGCTAGATAACTTCCAACATAAATATCAGTCATTGACAAGAAAAAGTCTGTGCTGAAGTTCTCCACCAGTCAGAGGTAAAAAAAAAAAAAAGGAGTATGAAAAATCTGATTGCAAATGACGAAAGTTTGACTCCTGATTCACTCTAACTATCTGTAAAGAGAGACTTTACAGGTATAATTTACAATTGAAAGATAATATTTCTTCTCAGAGATCATTAGCAAAAACATTGACAATGTTTATGCCTCATTTACCACAGTCAACAGCCTAACAAATCCCCCTCTAACTGTAGCATCTGTACTCGACTCTACTATCAAACTGATATTTTTCTTACAAAAAAGACACGAAAGATAACAGGGACAGTCTGTGCTACATGTCAAGTGCAGTAACAAAGTTTGTCTTCAACAAGAACTGATCTCATTAAATCCAGATTTCACCAAATAAAAGAAAAAAACTTAGAAGAAAATAAACACCAACTAAGCTCTTCCTCCTGTTGTCTAGATCTTTATCCCACAGCTTTCCTTACTAATGCTCTGCCTGTCATAATGTCTAAATTGACTTAAATAATAAACAGATTTTTTCTGTCAGGTGTTTTCCCCCAGGACCTAAAAACAGTTGTTATCAAACCGCTGTAAAAAAAAAAAAAAAAAAAAACAAGTTGGATAAGCTGCTACTGCAGAACTGCATATTCATCTCAAATCTCCCCTTCAGCAGTTGTGTTTTAACAGCTTTACAACCCTTCTAACAATGACAAAGCACTTTGACATCTTCCAGTCAGGCTTTCATGCTCACCGCAGTACGTAGGCTGTGCTTATAAAGGAGTTCAATGATGTTCCTATTAAAGCAGACTGTGGAAGAACCCAGTGCTGGTGATTTGAACCTTAGTGCAATAAGACCACCCCAATTTTTTTAGGGGACCTTGAAAACTGGATCGGCCTTTCTGGTACAGCACGTGCAGTTGTCTTGCTACTGAAATCTTTTATACAAATACATTTGCCTTGTCTAAAATTTGTCAAAAGCAAAAAAAAGAAAATGTTTATTTTTATTACTTAGATTGCTCAATGCATTTTTATTTTTTTGTAGCTACAATATTTAGCTGCCTCTTTGTCACGTAATGATAATATTTCCACTAGGACAATAAACAGCATCATGTGAGACAGCAATCATTGATATAAAGCTCTGCAGTTAAATTGGATTTTACTTCTATATTAAAGTAAAGGTTAGATTACTACATAGTTGATTTTTGAAACTGTATCCAGGCTCTCATATGTGCAGATGCTCTAATTAGAAGGATTACCATTACATCTGTCTCTGTATCTATTCCTTGACATGTTTGCAGATGCTTACCTTAGCTGTAGGATTTTCCAAATGACTGACAGTTCTGGGATAGCAGGAGCTGGATTCTTCAAGCATTAAAAAGAGGAGCCTTTCTATAAGCTGGATGGTGAAAGAATGGGATATTTAGTTTGAAATTAGGGGGAGTAAAGTCCCAGTTGGAAACTAAAATTTAAAGATTTCTAGGTATTAGCAAGTTCAGCTTCCATTATTTTCATAATATATGTTACATTTAAAGATTTATTCAACTTGCAGCAAACATCTACATGCTGCAGATTTAAGTTTGAAGAATAAACAAGACAAAAGGCACCAGAATAACAAAAAATAGACGTTGGATGAGTTGTTAAAGTTACTATCCTGATGTTTCCTGCCATGCATTTTTCTTTAATAGCTTTTTTAATAAGCTGAAATGTAAAGAAATCAAGGGCAATTAATTTTAAATACACTCTAATCTTTTCCACTCAGTATACTGTGTGTATTGGGTGAATGGTGTCATATATACAGTCTGACACTGTGTCAGATAGCTTGAGCTACTTTTTCCACATCATCGCTGTCTTTCTTCTTGCTCCACTTTTCATAACTAGGATTCATTAGTTGAGGTTTGAATAAAGGTTTATTGTTTTATGCAGAACTGTGTGTCTCCCCATGTTGTCAATAAAAGTTAGGTTTTTAATCAGAACCACCATACAGTTTGAGCCACCATCAGCACATCATCTGCATTGGACAGCATGAAATGAAGATTGTCATTGGGTAATTGGTGTGACATTTGAGTAGTACTGAGTAGTAATTGTCGAAACACAATTCTGTTTGCACTGTTTGAAGATTTTTCTGGAATCACTAATAACACAAATAATAACACACAGCTGGACATGAGAATTTAGGAAATGGGTATTTGTTGTCAATGGAAAAAAAATACTTCTCTATTGGGAAAGATTAACAATGGTATCTTTAATCTTAGAAATATAAGTACACAAAAATAAAGTTTGTAAAAAAAAAAATAAAGATATGCAAAAAAAAAGAAATATCAGCTAAATATTTCAAGTTTGTTGTTGTTACCTTTGCGAAGGAGGTTATGTTTTTAGGAGGGTTTGTTTTTTCTGTCACCAACATGGTGCCCCACGAGCACCAAGGGGCCCTCAGGGACCACATGGCATGCCCTGAGCATCCTCTGAAAACACTACAACTCAACAGTGGACTAAGTTTGAAAATGTATTTTTTGCTGTTGCTCTTATTTTTTTTTTTAAATCAATTTATAGAGCATTTCATTACAGTATATCAATCATTTAGAACAGGGGTCTTCAAAGTTTTCCAGGCCAAGAACCCCCAAACTGATTTGAAGATGGAGCTGGGACCCCCTAATTATATATATTGTATGAAATTGTGTTATATTTATCTGGTCCTATAGTCACTCTATTACAGATGGAGTAATGTAACGAAAGTAATTTCGCCCTGGGATTATTAAAGTATTTCTGATTCTGATTCCTCGTTGATGTTGCATTGATGATTGAAAAACCTCTTCGGCCTCCATTTATCTGTTTACTACAGTGTGTTGAATTCATTTGAATGTGTATTTAAAAACATTTTAATTAGTAGAAAAACATTGCATCAACCAAAACTTTTGTGACCCCCTGATCTGTTGATGGATCTGACCTTGTTTTTTTTTTCATCCTTTTAGATATACCTGTCATTTAAGAGGCCAAGACATGCAGGCTAATATCTTAATTGAAAATTGCCTCTTAATCTATGTGTTTAGTATGAACAAAAACAAAAAGAAATGTCATATGCTGCAATACAATTAATAAAAGCTTCACCTTATTCTCCGACTTGGGAAAACAGATACTTGCACTAAATGAATCTTTCTGATTGTGCTTTAGGTGCGGCCTTCTGGTGTCTGTTGGACATTGTGCCCATAAAAAATGAAAAGGGCGAAATGGTTCTCTTCCTTTTCTCATTCAAGGACATCAGTGACACCTATGGAAAGGGACACCACAGCAGCAGGAGGGAGGGTGAGCTACAAAACAAATCTGTTAACTCACTACATGATTTATGAGTGCGCGTCTGCTTTTCTATTCTCTGTTCACTCCTGTTATTCATTGTCACATCCTCCACTGCACTTTTGTTTGGTCTGGATTTCCTTCACTGATCTCACCGTTTCCAAAAGGGATTTGATTCGGGCACTCAGGGTCCTTAGAAATCTGAGCCCATCTGCTACACATAGTGAGCACGGTGCCAGGGGTTACAGCATTTTGTTAAGATGCCAACCAGGGAATGTTAAACTGATGCTGGAGGTTTTATCAATGAGCGATAACAGAAAAACAAAATGTAATTCTCCTCATGGGTTTAATTTTTATTTCAAACACATTGCCACTTTCAGAAGACAACGGGTGCAGGAGGAAGAGCAGCTCTCACTTCCGGGTGGCTCGGAAACACGGACGTACCATGTTGTACCAGCTGACGAGCCGCTTCTCAAGAGGGGGTAAAGAAGACATCAACCTAAGTGGGGTGAGAAGACATTTATTTATTCACTTTTCAGCCAGTTTTAAAAGTTTGTGGCATTCATTGACGGAGGGTTTATAATATTAGAGGAGTATTTTGCAGTAACAAAAATTCACTTTTCAACTTTTATGTTCTTCAAAAGTGTTCAAGCAAAGACTTGCTCCTGTTAGTGGAAGCTACTTGTAGACTATTTATGCATAAATATACTGTATCAACTAAAGAAAATAAGTTTTATTAACATTACATTATTTCACCAATGAATAAAGTTACTTAATTTAAGCTTTTAGTTTTTTTTGTGACCTAGATTATGTGTCTACAACAAAAGGTGATAGTTTTAAAGGTCACCATCGGGGTTATTTTTGTTAGCTAAAACTAAAATAAAGAATTCAAGCTAAAATGGAGAAAACTTTTTTGTAAACTGAAATAAATAAAAACTATATTTAAAAGGAAGAAAAACATACAATACTCTGACCTTTTTAAATTCTGTACCTAAAAATCCCCAAAGTATGAAGAAACTAAAACAAGTTGTAGAACGTATCGAGACTAAAAGTAAGCTAAGTATTATAAAAGAATAAAAAAAAAAAATACCTGGCCAAATTATAAAAACTTACAGAATTAGAGAAAAATATAGGAACAACTATATTCAACTTAACTAGAATGAAACATGCAAAACTATTGTAACCTTGGTATACAAGAAGGTCCATAGAAGAGCACAAAATGCACTTCAGGCTTTAATGAAAATGAGAAAATGTAATAAAATAAAATGACCTGCATCCAATGCAGGCTTGTCATCATTTAAACACCTCTAGTCCATCAAATAGAACTATTAGGATCATTATAACATATAACTCCTGAAATATGTAGTAGCAAATAAGTCTATGTCCAACTATGGAAACATTATGCATTTTTAAAGCTGCTACAAATGAAGTATGACTGTTTATGGAGTAGGCTAACCTCAATCCCAAATTTATCTAATTTAGGAATAGTGAAAGATTTGGACTGCTGTACTTCATTGTCCTTTCAAGTGTGAATCTTTCTCAGGAAGCTGTTTATTGTGACAAAAATGATAACACATACGGTCTAAAAGGAGATTTTTATGATAAAGCCTTCTATCCTCCTCTATCAGAAGTTGTATTCATAGAATTTCTTAATCTAAAAAAAGGAGCAGCTTTTTCTAGGAAATAATCTAACATGGTATGTTCCTCAAAATGTGCCTTTTCACCAAAAAGGCTTTAAGAAATTGTAAAAATCTTGAGTGCAAAAGTGATTCAAACTCAAACATATAACCTATACTTTTTTTAAAGCTCCTAATTCCAGCAACTATAGTTACTTAATGGGCCTACTTTTTATTCTAAGCCACACCTGGAATGATGCGTATTAACCGATCAAGTAGTTTTTATTTATGTCATATATCACAGACAGAATCAAACCCGTTTTTCCAAAAACCTATAAATCAACTTAAATGATAAAAAAATGGTAAAAACAGAAGATCAATTGTAATAACACTGCAATAAGAATTACAATAATCTCTTTTATAAAAGCCTGTTAGAAAAACAGGTCTTCATTTGCCTTTTAGAAGAATAAGCATAGTAAGCTTTAACATGAACCCATCGCAGATGAAGTCTCAAATGCGAAATTAGTCTAATTTCAATTTCTTGTATTCAGGATCTTATCCTACATTTACAACAACTAATTAAAGTTACTGCGGTATTTTATTTCCCTTTGGAAATCAATTAACCTGAAATGCAGTTGATGGGTGGAATCATTTAAAAAGGTTTATTAAGAGATAATTCAGTGTTGCTGGAAAGGAGCTGGTTGCAATCAGTGTGGGGAGGAGAGCTGGGTTAGCAGCAGAGAACAACTACATGGTGTTGAGGATGTATTGAGTAAAAGCCACTGAACCTCTCAGAAACCAGGAGGCAGGAGGCTCTGATGACTAATCCCAGTAGGTCTTTATGGATGATTCATATTATAGATTGCCTGATCTCTTGTTGATTTACCTTAGGCAACAAGAGATCTCTTGTCTCTTGTTGCCTAAGGCTAGCAGAAGGAGTCTGAAGGTCATGCACAGGGAATCAGTTTTCAGGGTAGAGGTTTCCAAACGGACTAGTGAGAGAGTGATCCAGAATCCAGTCAAGAGAATCAGTAACAGAAGGTGCCTAAGCAGGCAAAGGTATACATGGGAACAGAGGAGTTTAAAACTAAGATCCTGGATGTTCTACTCACACAAATGGCTTTCATGAATCGGGCGATTACCCACTGGGAGAGCCACGAACACACCGTGCTCCTATAGGAGGTAATTTAACAGTTTTATTTAGGTAGAGGAGAAGAGAACCATATAAGAAAGGAAACACTGAGGGGTTTGATACCTCTTTTAAATCAAGATGGTATTTTTATAAACAGGCTATGCTGAATCCCTCTATGGCTCTCCCTGAAACATTTCACTTCTTGCTGTCTGACAAGCAAACAACTAAGATTTCTCTTCTTTTTCCTCACATGCGATATCCGCTATGAATAGCCTGGAGGCCAGCCTCTAAAACGAGAGAAAAACCAACATGAAATAGTCATGCTAAACCATCGTTGAATAGTGCCAGCAGAAGCCATTAAAAGATCAACAGAGAAGCATAGATATAAAGCCAATATACAAAGCTGCCTCCCAAGATGCTGATGTGTTGTTGTTGTTTTTTTTGTCAGTTATGTTTCAGTTTGAATGAAAATAGCTGTTTCTAACTGACAAGTAACTCAGTGGGATTTCATGCTTGTCAGTTAACCAGAAGAAAAGGACTCCTGACTTGTAGAAATATCCAACTTGCTATTTTCCTCACCAAATACTTTAAAATGCAGGAGATGAAGCTGAATTGCAAGATTTTAAACAGCAGCATCTTAGAAGAGGAAGAATGACACAAAGGTTGTTGAAATAGAACCAGTCAATTTTCTCCAATCCAGCTCAGCAGCTTCCGGGATAACTCAGGTTAGCTTCTCTGTTATCCAGTGTGAATGTCCCTGAAGTGGCTACATTGAAAGTTGTATGTCCATATGTCTTTTTTGTCTCTTTCTTCACAATCTAATAGCTGTTAGATGCTCTTCCTCATCTCTTTGCTTGATCTGTTTTATTTTTGAAAAGTCTTCAAGTCTGAAACAAAGGTGGAATGGATTGTGTAGCTCATTAGAAATGTTTTCAAAATGAAACTTAATATGTGGACTAAAAAAAAAAAAATTTTAGAGATAAGATAGTGGAAGATCAGTATTTTAGTTACAGTCTATTCAAAACTGTTAACATGCAGTGTTATTTAGTGTTTACATAAGTGTGTGCATCTTTGAGAAGAGTTGCCTAGTCTACCTTGTAGAAGTTCTCTTGTTAAAGTCAGTCTCTTGTTCATTTAGAGGTAGTGCTTGTCTCTGAGTGCTGAAAATAAAATGTTTCCTTATTTATTTAAAATTTTATTGGAACTATTTATTAAACATCTAAAATAAGCCTCATTACATAGTTAACCCCAGCCGATGATGCGGTTGTATCCAGGGTTGCCTAAAAGAAAATGCTTGTTTTCATTTAACATTTAAATCAACAAAAATACTGTTAAGACATTTAAAAAAGCAGGTCAATAATTATGAAGAGCATTTGATTGCTGTAATGCAATTGAATGCTTTCCCCTGATCATATAGAAGGAAATCTTCAGACCTGCCATTTTTTTTTTTTTACTTTTTTGTTAATTTGTAAATAATAGCACATATAAAATACTTGGATTTAATCTTACTGTCTCCTGATTGTATAGTGAAATCATTTTGAAACTATGGATTTTCTCTGCAAACTACAATTTTTACTCAAGGATGCAAAACAGCTAATATGAGGAAGATCCTGCTTTATCTGAAAAGTGATTCATTCTAAGCAGATTGACTATAATGAGTCTAGGAGGGTTTCAAAACTATCGGGGGGTATTAAAACGATCTGCTTGTGTCTCTGTTAAATTTTAGAGAATATTTGTCTGAATGTCACATTAACAGTGGAAACAAATTATTGAAAAACATTTATCTAATATCATTTTTTTACCTTAAGATAACCCTCCATTTCAATAAGAACACAGATAACTTTAAAAGAGACATAACCCTAACCTTCCTTTCCCCAAAAAAATATCCTACTTTTGAACTAAACTCTGCTATCTGACACTCTGAGCGATAAAGCTCAGCCATGTATGAAATTACCAAGCCCTTTAATTGTACCGTAATAAGTTTCCTCTTGAATGACCACAGTTCTTTTTTTTGTCATTTTATGGTGTTTCATTACAGACTTTTGAGGGACCTATTACTGCCTGTACTGGAGTCTGTCTGTCAAAGATTACCCCCAACATCAGTGTATCGTTTCCACTTGAGCTGCTGCTTTTCTCAATGATCAGCGGACAGCACACACAAGAGAGGGTGTTGACATTTAAATTGTCAGTATCCGCAAAATGTTGCTGCTTTATTGTCCATCTGATTATCATTTATGGTTCCCCATCCCCATCCCATTGTGACCATCTGGATGTTATGTTATTCATTTATTCATCTGTACAAAGGCCCTTATTGCGTTTTGAATAATTAACAAATCAATCTTGAAATTCAAGTGCCGATCATTAGATTTTCACTCTCACCAAGCAAATGTTCTCTTTACTTGAAATACTTTTGTGTGGTTCTACACTTGCTTTAGGGATTTACATCTAGTTCAACTGGTTGTTAAAAGAAGTCAATGTATTTCAATCACTGCAGCAGGCAGCTCTAGATCCAGTGTAAAATGACAGAAGCTTCCAAAGGCATTAGGGCTGCTGCTAAAAGAACTTAAAAGCTGCAGTTTAAGTGAAGTGTTAGCAAGCACTACTGTTCTATATACAACTGTTGCAAAACTTTTCTATTATTTTAACTTTTAATTTATTTCATCTTGCTATAATAAGAACCCTATTTTGATCACCAGAATAAACGAAACCCATTTCTCCTTTTTGAGTAACTGGAAAAGTTAAAATACTTAAGATAAAGCATTGTCTCTTATCTCAAAAACATAAAAAAAAAAATATGATTTTGTGTTCTAGGGCAACAGAAATGTTGATGAATATAAGTTCTTTATTTTCTGCCCCGTTTGCAGATTAAATTGTGGAACATGCTCTCAATGTCAACTGATACGAACATCTCCCTCCTTGTCTAGAGTTTTCTTCTTCAAATGACACTTTTTTGGTTTTGTTGTATGTTTAGATTATAATTTTTAAAGGTGAGTTATTTTAGAATAAATAATTTGGATATAGATACTGTAGCTGCTGTCTTTTCATATGAGTGAAGTAGAACCACACTTTGTGTCGAAAATCCTTAATTCCACTCAAACAATTTCCCTTTGTAAAACCCTTTTATGTTAGTTTTTGCAGCAACATTTTTTGCTCGCACTGTTCAGCAAACCATAGTTTAACCCTGAGCGTTGACCTTTCTAGCACTGGCTATGCCAGATGCTGTAGGTGTTGTTATGTCTATATTTAATGCATATACAATACGTATTTAAGAATGCATATTTAATGACCCTTATTATAATAAAATTCATCATAAAAAAGAGAAAACACCCTAAAATGTACAGGCTGTTTTCTTGAATTCTTGGTTCATTCAGGTAAATGACTGGACCAGCAACAGACAGCTCACCCACACTATATGTTTAGTTTTTAATCATCTCTTTCACAGAAAATCAGGTTTATCCAGAGCTTGACTATCTGTGATTCAACAAGATTACCTGTATAAACAATGAAAAAACAGACAAATACACTATAAAACCTTTCTAGATGTACATTTGCACATACATTTAAATTCAACAATACTAATTTCTGAATGAAAACTGGAACTCAGAGTAGTTTACAAGTGTTGGGAATACATGCGGTTCAGGAGGGGAGATGAGAAATCAACCAATCCATAAATCAATATATTTCTTTATTATGAACTACAATTTGAATTGTAATCAAGATTTCAATTTCAGTACAAACTGTTCATCAAATACATCACATACATTAGGGTGGGGGGGCTGACAGGAGGAATGGGAATCATATGAGATGATTGAAGAACACATTTAACTGAAAACTAAATAATCTGTTTTTGTTTGTTTTCTGTTGTTGTTTTGTAATTTTTGTTTCTTAAATAAATATTTACCAAACATTAAACTATTTCAAATAATTGGAGACAACTCTATGATAATTCAGTAAAATGTTGCCTGCTTATCTTATTTTAAGGTGAAGCTAAAAACAACAAAACACTGAGAGTTATTTCTTTTCGTGCAAATTGAAAAAGGTTTATAAATTCCACACTGATCTTAAAAGAGCTATTGTTCAACATACAGTAGAATATTCAATCTCCTTTTGATGTTTTAGATTTTAAACATTTACATCCAAAATGATGCTCAGTAAATCAAAAATCTGTGGTAGTCTTTAATACCAATGGCTTCAAACTATCAGTGAGCTATTGTTTTATTACTACTGTCTCTATTAATAGCAACAAATATTTTTATCTTACAGACAATGGTGGACAGGCCCTCTGTACCAGAGTACAAGGTGGCTGCAGTGCAGAAGTCCCGCTTCATCCTGCTCCACTACAGCGTATCAAAGGCTCTTTGGGACTGGCTCATCCTGCTTGCTACCTTCTATGTAGCTGTCACTGTACCCTACAACGTCAGCTTCTCTCCACATGATGACTCCATCCCTGCTTCTCGCTCCACCATCGTCTGTGACATCTTGGTGGAAATGCTCTTCATTATTGGTAAGAACTGATATAAAGAAAAGCAGTTGGAAAATTTCACAATTTCTCTTGAGATTCTAAGACAGACAACCAGTTGTGGTGTGGTCACTTGCAAAATGGCCCAGCGCAAGCTCAGGAGGTTAATGTAGAGGGATCCATTGAACATAAAGTGTTTGTCGTTTAATAGTCATAGGACCACATCTGTGAGACTATAAAGGGACAATCTCTGTTTCAGTTTTCCTCATCATTGCTTTGAATTTTTTAGACATCATACTGAACTTTCGTACCACCTATGTGAGCCAGTCGGGTCAGGTGGTGTATGAGGCACGCTCTATCTGCATTCACTATGTCACCACTTGGTTCTTTGTGGACCTTGTTGCTGCCTTGCCCTTTGACCTACTCTATGCCTTCAACATCACAGTGGTGAGCATTACAGTAGCATTTCTATTACATGTCTGCAGAACGTGTTACTATCTTTCTATGGCACATTTTGCTAAAAAATATGATAAAGTCAGAAGATAGTTGGAAGAGGGACTGACAATCTGAAGGTTTCGTCCTCTGTTTAGACCTCTTTAGTCCACCTGCTGAAGACGGTTCGTCTTCTGCGTCTCCTTCGACTTCTTCAGAAGCTTGACCGATACTCTCAGTACAGCGCCATGGTCCTGACCTTGCTGATGTCTGTGTTTGCCCTGCTGGCGCACTGGATGGCCTGCATCTGGTACATGATTGGTCGCAAAGAATTACTAACCAATGAAACCTGGGAAATAGGTGAGTCTGGGGAGCAAAATACGAAATGATAAACAATAAGTGTTATTTTTTTGGTGTATTTAATCCCTTTTCTCCTTCTCGAAATTCATCAGATACAACAAAACATTCCTTAAAATCAGTTAATATCTGTTGTGCATCTGTTTTGCTATAAATAGCTATGCCACCTACTTGGTTGTGATGTGGCTGTATACACCAACTGTCTGATTAGAAACATATACAAAACCTAAAAACAAAACAGTACAGGAATCTTTTTTGTAGAAATCTGCTAAAAAAAAAAAACTGCAAGCTTTATAATATTTTTTTTACATTTTATATTACTTACAAAACCACCTGTATATTTTTGTGCTATCAAACCTTTTTTCCATCTAATTGTTGTTTTCAATATATCATCTTTCTCAATAGATGAAAGACACCATTACTTTGTCAGTTGACACGTTTAAATGAAAATCCGCCTTTGTAGTTTACAATTTAAAATATTAGGCAGAGATGAGGACTAAACTTGCATCTTAAAGTCAAGTTGTAATTTGTAAAGATCAAGATGTCGGATTTGAATTTAACTCTAAAGCCTCAGAAGTAGCATTTTTATAAAAAAAGGTCACCATAATCTAAGACCCATAAAAAACTCGCAGAGACAAGGCCCTTTTTACTCCAAAAGAAAAACATGTCTTATTACGAAAGAAGTCCAGCTTAACTTTTAATTTCTTAACAAGTTTATCAATAAAAGGTTTGAAAGTGAGGTAGCCATCAATTAAAATTCCAAGGTATTTATATTCCAAGTAGCTCATAGGCATGAGGAGAATTATCTTAAATAACTCTTAGGTCATATTTTGGCAATCAAATGTAATGAGTATATCAGGAAATGCATAAATGTTGATGGTTAATGTTTTTTTTAGTGTTTAAGACCTTAGTGAAATATAGTGTGTTTTAGCTTTATAAACATTAGCTCAACACATGTCAGTTAGTGGTCACCTTTAGCTTCTTGTTAGATCCCTCCTCCAAGTGTAAAAGCCAGGAATGTGCCTCTCCACGCTGTTAGTATTTCCTAAGATTAATAAACTGATAGTGTTATTTAGAGAAAACTAAAACTGCATCTCTGGTTTGGGAGAAAGGGGCGAGGGCTGGAGTAGAGTGGTCAAGCGTGCTTACCTGGGCTTTACAATTATTTGGCGGGAGCTTTAGCCGGGGTACAGGTGGTTCGAAACTGGGACTGTCTATGGAGATTGGGGACTTCTGGTCACCATGCTTTACACAACAGTGAACATATTAAAGAATAATAATAAAAAACTATAAGAACAATTACTGTTTACCTGGAAAATATTTCCATTAGCCATGATTGTAACCTCTGTTGATCTCCAAAGCTCAGGAAAGCCTAGCCTAGGCTGTGTTGCTGGGTGATTCTGTGGCCTGAAGGCCTAACAAGAAGACTTTTGTCCTTTTTGGTCTTCTGGTTCTAGATGTAGTCTGAGTCACCCCTGGAGACTCAGAGAGAATATTACAGTCTGTTTCACAGCAGTCTAGGTTTTAACTAGACTCTAGGACTACTTAACTTGAGCAGGGGTTAAGGAATCAACTAAATTTAGCTATGTTGTCTTGTTCTCCCTGATGTGACCTTACTGGAGAGCCACAGCAAAAGAGGATGGGGTCTGTGAGTAGATGCATTTTGTCCCCCAACTAATTCAAAAGCTTGCAAAGAACCAGCATGGATATTTGTCCCCAATGAGAAAGTTAATGTTACGGTTCATGGCATACCAAAGCCATCCAGTTTTAAAAGCCAGCCTGGTATTACTGTTCATGTTGTTAATTTGGTAAACACTTGCATAAAGAAGCTGGCTAATATATTTGTTTTGCTCAGCATACTTTTATAAACATCTTACACCTAACTGACCAATGTAGAGAGAGATCATTTTCTAAAAATGTTTTAATCTGCTCTAAAGGATGGCTCCATGAACTGGGCAAACGTCTGGAGACTCCATACATCAACAGTACAGTGGGCGGCCCGACGGTCCGAAGCTCCTACATCGCTGCTCTCTACTTCACCCTCAGCAGCCTAACCAGTGTGGGCTTCGGTAATGTCTGTGCCAACACCGACGCTGAGAAGATCTTCTCCATCTGCACCATGCTCATCGGTGGTAGGTTTGACATCAGGTCGTCTCCGTCTCTTTCTAGCAGTGCAACATAGCTCTATCTCTGTTTGGCATGGCAGTCTAATAAATTTAGCAGGGCGTTGGGGGGTTAAGACAAACAGCTTGGCAGGGTTTGGAAATGACACACAATCAGTCATATTTTAGAAAAATATTATTTCAGCTGAGTTAACAATGATACATGAAACAGCCCAGAGGATTGTATTTGGTTTATTAACTGCCTGCAAGACTGGTGATTTAAACAAAGAAGGAATTTTGTGTTATAATCCTATCGATGAATGAGCCAGTAAATGTTCTAAAGTTAAAATGAAAATGTTTGCAGATATACAAGTTGACTAACTTATTTGGAGTACAAAAAATACTTTTGGGATAACAGTTTTATCCCATATCATTGAACTTGGTACATTACTTATCAGAATCCAGAGAAAACATATGAAAGGATGCCAAAAGAAGAACTTGGTTACTGTGTGAGTAAATCAGGTACAGTAGAAAAGTATTAGGTTAATATTAAGGGCAGGAAGCCAGCGTGGAGTAGTGATGTAAAAAGGATCTCTCTTTTAAAATTAGAGATTACTTTCAGGAAAAAATCCAACTAACCTAAATAATGAGTGTTAATTAGTTAGTTAAAGCAAAAATAATCAGTCAATAAATCTAACTTTCATTGTATATTGTTAATAATTGGTTAATTTAATTTTACTGTCTTAAACATTTAGTTTATATTTCTTTACATTTTGTCAGGTCTAAGCACCTAAAACATCATACATACATACAGGGAAAGAAAGAAGGGACAGAGACAATTAATTTAGTTACTCGCGAGGAGAATAGGAAGGAGACTGCGGAGTTTACAATCTCCACCCCACTCTGCAGTCTTCAGCTTTCTCCTTGCTATTTATTGAAGAAAAGGGGATGTCCCTAATTACATCAGCTGAGGTTTAAGTAAAGAGAAAGGGAAACAAAAGGATCTTACTTTAAACCTCAGCACATATGTTAAAACAAAGCATGTGGTTGTTTTACAATTGAATTGTTCCAAGAATACATGTTTAGAAGAAACATGTGATAGAGGCTGTTCAGGTCTCTTTTACAACCCAGCATGTGATAGAGGATGTTCAGGCCTCCTTCACAACCCGTCCATTGCATGACCTTAAGCAAGAGTTAATAAAAGATGAATCACACATTATACATCATAATAGTTCATTAGAACACAACCCATTAAACAAAAACAAAGTATAAATAAAATATTTCTAACACATTTTTAAGTAGTTTAAAGATGGTTCCATAATAGGTTTCTAAATTGATACAGCTAAAGATTTTGTTTCACATTATCAATGTTGGCTACTAGGATAGCCACATCTGAAGAGAGCTGTGGACAGGGAATGTCTACAAGTGAATCAAATAGCTAGCAAACAGCTCCCTGCAAAGCTGAATGACATGCCGATGAGGGAATTTATTCTGGTGTGTTTCAGACGAGATGCATGTAAAGGCTGCAGGAAAGGATCAATGGATGGCAGGATTAGAGCACCCCAGTTTGAGGGCATGTTGTTGTTTTTATTTTTATCTTTGTTGTTGTATTCACACATGATGTTGTAACCTTTTTTACACTGGAAAAACAATCTAGAAATAAGTAAAAATTTCTTAAATTAAGTGTATTTACCCTTAATTTGAGTAGGTAAATGAGATAGTTTGCCAATGGAATTAGTATGTTTACTCTTAAAATAAGACAATTAGATAATATGCACTTAAAATAAGACAAACCAATTTTGTTTTTTTTATTCTAAGTGTAAATTGTCTTGTTCCATTGCCAAAATGTCTCTTTTACCTCTTCAATCCAAGAACAAATGCATTTATTTTAAGAAAAAATGACTTATCTAGATTTGATTTTTTTCCAGTGTATTTTTTTTTACATTTTAATATGTTATACATCAAAGTTGGTTTTGTTCCTGGTATAACTGCATGTGATACAATTGCTTATCAAGAAATCCTGTTTTTTACATCACAAAATCCTTTCACCAAAACAAGGGTGTGTATAATTTGTGCAACTGGTTTATTTTTATTATTCAATTTGCTAAATGTGCACTGAGAACCAGAAAATATGTTTTTCTTCATGATTAGTTGTGTATGAAATAGAAAAGAATAAGCCAAAGGTAAATAAACAAAACAAAAGCAAAAAAAACCCTGATCATTCAGTGGGGAAGGTGTTTTTTCTTTTTGGCCTTGTCTTTTTATTTCTGTGCCTGTTTTCTAAAAAATATTTTAGGTGATGTTTGGTATTTATAAATGCTGAAAGTACATTTTTTAATGCAGTAGCTTACATTAAGTCATTGGACTAAGGAAGACGCTAATTTCCACCTAATTTGTTTACCTATTCGTGTATCTCAGCCTGGCCTCATTCATTACTGTCTATTGTGCTCTTTGCCTCCATCTGCCACAGCTCTGATGCACGCTGTTGTCTTTGGTAATGTGACGGCTATAATCCAGCGCATGTACTCACGCCGTTCTCTCTACCACACCCGAATGAACGACATGAAGGACTTCATTCGTGTTCACCGTCTGCCCCAGCAGCTTAAACAGCGGATGCTGGAGTACTTCCAGACCACATGGTCCGTCAACAACGGCATAGATGCCAACGAGGTAGGATTCTCTTTTGATTTTGTGAGATGGTGTCCTTAAATGACTTCAAGAAAAGAATCTAATTTATTTTCTTTCTTTTTTTTGTGAAATCCCTTCCTAACTATTTCACCCATGATTTAAAATATTCCAACAACTCTGGACCTTATTGCAATAAATGTCCCCAGCTCCTCCATGACTTCCCAGATGAGCTCCGGGCCGACATCGCCATGCATTTGAATAAGGACATCCTTCAGCTGCCAGTTTTTAAGGGGGCCAGCCGTGGCTGTCTGCGCTCACTCTCCCTTCACATTAAAACCTCTTTCTGTGTACCTGGGGAGTACCTGATCCGTCAGGGTGATGCTCTGCATGCCAATTACTTTGTCTGCTCTGGTTCCCTAGAAGTGCTGAAGGACAACATGGTGCTGGCTATTTTAGGTCTGTTTGACACCAAATCTATGAAGAATTTTATTTTAATTTAGAAGTTTCAAATAAGAGCAGGACATTTATTGTTAATGCTTTGTATTTTAGGAAAAGGGGATTTGATCGGATCTGATCTGCCTGGAACAGACCAGGTGATAAAGACAGATGCAGATGTGAAGGCTCTCACCTACTGTGATCTCCAGTACATAAGCATTCGTGGTTTGAGAGAGGTGCTGGAGCTCTACCCTGAGTATGGCAGCGTGTTTACCACCGACATCCACAACAACCTGACCTACAACCTACGTGAAGGCAGCCAGGATGAGGTACTGATTTACACTAACTGAGCACAATTTATGTTTCAAATTGTTCTTCATTTGAAGCCAGTTTTAGCCCTTACTTTTACTGAACCCCTGCAACTGAAAAATCATCCCCTATGTCTCACAGACTAACACACTTATAATAGTAATGGTGATAATATTTGAGTGTCCTTCATCATAAGCTTGACTTTGGTCCAGAAATCTCTTCTTTGACTCCAAGGTTTGACATTAGCTTTTTATCCTAACCAACCAATGTGGCCAGGGGTTTTCCTAGGTTACAACCCACTCAGCATTTTCTACTAAACAGAATTTTGCAGAGAAGGCAAAAAAAAAAAAAAAAAACTAAACTGGAACAAATCTAATGAGAATCAATAGTTTCAGTTTTTATTAACCGAGCAAAAAAAAAAAAAAAGTAGAACAAAACTGTCCATTTAATTTGTTTTAAAACATTGTTGCATATAGTAATATACTTGAAAAGTTATGGACGGATTTTAATGACATTTTTCAGATCACATTTTATACATAAACAGGTCAAAAAGGATGCATGTTGAGGTTGCATGGCCAACAATTAGACAGTGCATCTTCAACTGGTGTTGGTGCCGTATGTTCTGAGCAGGACCCTGATCCAATAGTCTGGATCAGATCTCAACACCCCTATTTATTCTTATTTTTATCCCCTTTAATGTAAAAAAACAAGCCTCTTTAGATTATGTTTCTTATGTTGCACATGCGTTCCCTCCATTTAAAAATTATTCTAAAGTTTTAACTTTAGATCAAGCCATACATTGTTGTTACCCGCTATTCCTTGTGGGCTTGAAGGGGGGTTATTTTCAATTGATTGGCATATTTTAGGCATAATCATGCTTCTAATGCTTTGCAGCAAGTTTCACAATTTTCTTTTTTATTACAACTAATAAAATAGCTGACAGAAAACATGACCCCTTGTATTGTTTGTCTCAATATAGAGACATTATAAATAAACACATTAAGAGTGTGAAACACCCACAAACAAACACACTGCATATACACTTCGTAAGACAGGATGCAGGATATTTTAAACGACAGAATTTTGCCCCCTAAGGTGCCTTTGTCACTTTTACATGACTCTTTTTCTGCCACAGCTACCAAAGTCCAATTACCATGAGTGGGTGCCACTGTCAGGCAGGCATATTGTTTCCCCAAAGCCCAGCAGGATGGCACAACACACAGCCAGGATGTGGCTCCCATTACTGTCCATACAGTATATACTATACCAACAGTTATTTAAAAAAGCCTACATAAGTACAAGAACCTGCATCAATTTACATCATAAAAGCTTACACTGTCCATTGCAAGACATTGCAACATAAGCGTAATGTAATCCTCTAATAATAAAACCTCTAATAAACCAGACAAATGACCTATAATTGAGCCTGACGGCTGGTTTACAAGGTTTAGTGTAAATCTGTGAGTCGCTGGAAACTTTTGCAGCACACTGGACAGTCTATAAGGGGTTAAGACAAGATAGTGGCTGTCAAAGAGTCAGAAAATGTCATGATTCTGCCCTTTGTGGACTTCTGTTTAAGTTTCTTTCTAAGTTCCCAGTTACACTTTGATTTATGTTATTCTATGTTTTATTGATCATTGGTTTCTTTTCCATTTTGATATATTTAAGCTTTGTTTTATTTATTGTTTACTCTTTGTTGCCCCCTTGTGCTAGTCTCTTTCCCTAACTCCTTCTAGATCCCTCTGTCCACACCTGCTCCCAATCTATTGATTATTCAATTCTTTGTTTTGTTTTCTAAAAACCTCCACTCAACTTTACAGCAAATCCTAAATTGCTTCAAAGAAAGCACTTTTAACCTTTTCAGGATCACTATTGAAGGGTTTGAGCCAGACAGAAAACTCTTCCACGGTTGTGTTTGTTCTAATAATCTGAAAGAATGATAGCTTTACAAACAGTTACTCTATGGCCGGCACACTGTGGAGTGACTGTTTATTTAGACAGAAACCAGGACAAAGCAGGGACGGTAAATTATGAACACTGTTACCTCTTTAAGATCATTTTTAATAACCGTAAATACTTTGTCCCCTTATGAAGGAAGGAGAAACCCGTCTTCTTTAAGTCGGCGGATTGGCAGTGTGCCCCAAAAACTGGGTAAAGGGGCAACGCTGCATTACTGTTTTTACTGCAGTACTTTAGGCACCTCACTATATGGATTCGTAACCATAGCATTTTAAAACCATAATACATCTTATTTCTGGTAACTGTCATACTTAAGTGTGTAAGCAGCTGATATAGAATACAATAAGTTAATGTGTTTTCTAAAACCCCAAACACATCAACAGTGAGATATCCATGGACACAAGTGACAACTCTCTCTTCAACACTTCCTGAAAACTCATCCAAGTCTGTTAGTTCATCAGGCTTTTCTCTTGATCCCCTCTGGTTGTGCCCATTATTAATGTTTGTTGCTTATTAGTTTAATTTGGGTTTTTGTTTTTTCCCTTGACTTTTTTTTTATTCTTTTGCATTTGGAAGGGAAAGAACGAGACATCTGTGATGGGTTTGCTAATTAGAGAATGCCTTTTTGTCAGTCAGGCTGACAGACAGCTTGTGCTGTATTAATGAGGGCTACAAAAGCAGATTGAAGCTCAATATTTTGATACCGTAATGTAACTACAAGATGACCACCAAGTATATGCATGCAAAAGTGATAAAGAAGTTTATTTTCATCATTCATTTGAATAAAAATAAAATATTCAACATGCTTTTTTCAGTGAAAATTTTGATTCAGTGAGCCTTCTCCAGGTGGTTCACCAGTAACAGTCTTCGCTCACACCTTAGGGTTCATAACAAGCTGTGTGTTCGTTATGAACCAACGGAGCAAAGAATGATCAAATTCAGAGTGTTTAGAAATTGAAAACTACTGACACACACACATACAGCCAAATAGTTATCTACACACTCCTGGAGATTCTCCAACAATAGTAATCATTGAATGATTATACAGAAATCAGAACATTATGGTAAAAAAAAAAAAATAAAATAAATAAATAAACCTGTACGCTTTGTCTGTATTATATTTTTGTAATCACCTAAAATGGAAATTTAGGGATTTATTTGAATTAAAATGTATCTTATCTTAATCAACTCAGAGCTGCCCCCTAAATAGGTTAAAGTGATTAGCTTTAAAATGCTGTTAGTATGAAGGCATCAGTAGTGGTAGTGACTATTTTTTTTTACAAATTACGCTGAAACTGTAGAGTAAGTTAAATCTATTTTTCATTGCCTTAAGTGTAACGACACTGGAGTTGCATCTCACCAGTTCGTAGCACTTTTTTTTTCTTTTTTAACATGCTAAAAGCTTTTATAAGTTACTTAAGCTACGTTTCGGGAATGTATGAAAAGCCTCAAAGTGGAAAGTAAAAATAAAAACAACAAATTGAGAGAATTTAAACAAAAGGAAAAAAAACGTAAAGGGGAGACGATATTCTGTGCCATGTTTGAAAGACAGACCTATGAAAGAGAGAAAAAAATTACCATTTGGATACTATGGAATTTCCTAAAGCATAGGGACCAGTAGCAGTAACATCTATGTTTCTTATATAGTAATTCATTTAGTTTCTTGAATATTACTGATTTTGTAAAAATAAATATTATTTAAAAAATAAATTCTATATTTAAATGCATCAGTTTCATATATTGTAGTTCTATTTCATTGAAAAATTGCCTCGTTGCAAGATTTTGGTCTGGTTATTGCTTGTACTTTAATAAAAATAAAACCACAGCTTTCAGTTTAATTCTGCATAGAACTACCCTGCTTCACAGTCTGATCTCACTAGCATACATTACTGTAAGTAAAATTCAACTGTTAAAATCCCACATTCAAACTTTAGGAGTCATTTTGTTATGTATATGCTAAAGCAGAACAGTTTACATGCCCCAAATGAGATTGTTTGCACATGATAAGTGAGGAGTAAAACCACTACCAGAAAATAGTTTATGCAAACCTACTTTACTATATTGGACTCCTGTGGTTTAAGTGTCTCATTTTCTAATAGCAGTCATGTAAAGTCATTTTATGACAATATTCTATATTAGGAAGATTATCATTCCAGGATGCCTGAGGGTCCTGGAACTATAATGATAAAATTTCCTTATGTGTCCCCATTTTAACGAGCTTAGAGATCCTCTTCATGGCACACCACCGTCTAAACTGATGCAATCTTTATTTTTCTTTTCAACATTGATTTTTAAACCCAGTCATTTGCTATAGGGATTAACTTTGATGCTTTCTTGCATCAAAGAACCGTTTGGCACTGACTGCTCCAGCAACAGGCTGTGGTGTGGGTGTCTGTGTCGGCTCTAGCTAAATGTTTTTCAGTCATTCGAAAAAGGCTGCAACATTGCAAAAAATTAATTACCCTCCATATTGCTTATCAACTGAAACTAATTCTGCCTTGCACCAGGGGAAAAATTAACTAAAAGCTCTAAGCAATTAGCTTTAGAAATATTATTGAGTGAATGGTTTGACTTAAATTGCTTCCTGAACATATGTGCATCCCCCACTCTTCCAAAAAAATATAAAAAATAGTGTGCAATAGACCCATCCTGAAAGTCCACACAATCTGATGCTAAGAAAAATAAACTTTGAAGCGTCTTCAGTAACTTTTAATTTCCCTTTCTTCCAGTTGCTATTTTTTTCTATAGGTTCATTTACTTTTATTAGTTGAATTCATAACAATTATTATGAGAAAATATTATTACAAACCCTATAAAACCAGCCATCTACGGGAGTTAATAAGCAAACTGCTATCAGTTCATAATTTTTCTGTGACTCACGGCCTATTGAAACTCTGCGCTCAATAGCCAATTGAACATTTCAGCTACTGGAAACGAAAATTTAATGACAGAAATAAATCACATTTCCTAAGAGGAAGGTGAATAGCTAAATAGATAACTAAGTAAATGTTGCGGGGGAAGATGATTATTAGCTTTTTTAACTCAATAGTAATTTACAATGATGAGAATTGTTTATAAGCAGCAGATAGAAAAAGAAAAAAAAAACGGTGTAACAATGTCCAGTTCTCCTCCATAACTGTGTCCAAACTACACTGAACGATGGATATGTATGCAGAGAGAATTGCCAAGGCAGATCTTACTTCCATCTTCAACAGCTCCAAGCTCAGGAAAAGGACAGCTTACATCTCAGGAGACCCCCACACATTCTGGACACTGTTTACAGTTTTACCTTCAGATCAGTGCTACAGAGCGCAGTGGCGTTTGTTTCTACTTCAAGGTTTCTAAACAGGGTCACCTGATTTAATGACTACCTGCCTTTCGCACTGCCTCCAATCATGATGAAGTGCTTCAAAACACTGGTAAAGAACACATCGTCTCCAGTCTCCCCCCAACATTCGACCTGTTCCAACTCGCCTACCGACGGAACCCCTCCACTGAGGACGCAATCTCCTCTGCTCTTCACCTGAGCCTAGCATACCTGGAGGAGAAGAACACCGTCGTGCAGATGCTGTTCCTGGACTTCAGTTTAGCTTTAAACACCATCATCCCACAGCATCTGATAGGCAAAATGGAATAGCTGGGCTTCAAGTCACCCATCTGCAACTGGCTGCTAGACTTCCTAACAAACCGACCTCAGTCAGTCCAGGTCGGAAAGAACACCTCTGATGTCATCTTCCTAAGCACAGGCTCCCCTCAGGACTGCATCCTGAGCCTCCTGCTGTTCACTCTGACACCCGACTGCATCCCCAGGTTCACCACCAATCACATTGTGAAGTTTGCAGGCAACACCACGGCGGTGGGACTCATCAGAGGCAACGACCAGGACTACAGAGAGGAGGTGGAGCAGCCGGTGGGCTGGTGCAGAGACAACAGCCTGATCCTGAACGTGGAGAAGATGAAGGAGATCATTGTTCACTTCAGGAAGAACCACCCTAACCACACTCCAATGCTCATCAACAGCTCAGCTGTAGAGGTGGTGAGCAGCACAATATTTGTGGGGTGCAGATCACAGACACCCTCAACTGGAATGTAAACACCATCTCACTGGAAAAAATGGAACAGAAGTGCATGTACTTCCTGCGGAGGATGAAGAGAGCCCACCTGCCCCCACCCATCCTGACCACCTTCTACAGGAGCACCATAGGAATCATTCTGACCAGCTGTCCCACTGTGTGTTGTGGAGGCTGCAGCTCCTCAGACTGGATGAAGGTGAGAAGCATGGTAAGAAAAGCAGAGAGGATCATCTGTGCTCGTCTTCCCTACATAAAAGACATTTCATCTCAGCTCTGCGGGTCCCGAGCCCATAACTTCATCAATTACCCCTCACACCCCCACAAAGGACTGTTCACCTTGTTGCCCTCCGGAAAGAGGCATTCAATGCGGGTCCAGCAGATTCTGTAACAGCTTCTTCCCCACCGCCATCAGACTGCTGAACTGTTAAAAAAATCCTCTAAATCAAGACTCTGCATCACACTGATAACACCAAACCAAAATACTGCATATTTGCACCATATATATATGTTTTGAAATGCTCTTAACTTCCATATCAATGCGTTTTTACACCATGTTTTCTTCTCCCACACTATTTACATTTTATTACTACTGCACTTTAGGTAATGTAAATTAATTCACTGCCTGAAAGCTGTACAAAATGCAATATTGTTTTGTATACACCTCTGTATACAAAATGACAATAACAGTTGTTTAAGTCTACGTGAAACTATGTCTTCATTTTTTGTAGAACAATGTATGAATATACTGTATTTACAAAAAAAGTCATGTTTTACCAAAACTTTATAATTTAGAGTAAATTTGTCCCAAACAACTTGAAGATTAAAGCTGGTCCTGATTCTAAAGTGTAATGTGATTTACATTTCAGCAGCATGGTTTTAAGGTAAAACTGATGGTTGGATGGAAAATATAATTTGACAGGTTAATATTACAAATCTCATGCAAATCTGTTTATCTTGAAGCTTATCCTAAATAACAAGTTTTATTTCAGTGTTCATAAAACAAGAAAAAATGCCAGGACTCTAATATTTTGTATCAGTAATGCTTTTAAGAAGTTCAACATGCTTCAAACATATGTTTTAAAATATACAACAAGTGTTTTTTTTTTTTTTTTTACTTGTCTTCTTTGTTTCTTTTTTTTTTCTCTCCAGGGCTTAAATAGATTCTGCAAGTCACCAAGACTTCCCCATGTGAGTTTTGTGATTATTGAATATCCTGCCTGAATTTCTTTTTCTGATATGCTTTTTTTGAACATGTTTGCAGGGTGTTATTGATATGCCAAACACTCATTGTCGTAGAGCCTTCTTAAATTCTATAATCTTTTATGCTTATTTTGCTTGGAGTCAGAAGAAATTTCCAATTGATTGAAAACAAAGTTAAAATCAAGACAAAAATGAAGCAATATCATAAGGTTTTTATAGCAGTTTTTTTTTTTTTTTTCTTGAGGTAACCCCTCCTGTTTTTCTGGGACATGCAGCACTGCTGATGGATTCTGTGGGACGGCCTATGTGAGGTCTTCCCCTTCAGGTTTAAACTAATTTAGAACAGACAGTACAGTTCGGTCTCAGGAGTTAGCTTACAAACTGGGTCAATAACTATGAAATTTTTTTTTTATCTTGCACCGTAAGTTCACCCAACTTTTCCTTTGATTTCTAAATCTAAGGTCATATTGCTGACTCTATTGATTGCAGGTTACTGGGAGTTTCGGGAGTGATTTGAGGAATTAATCTATAGTAAAACCAAAACAGAGTAAAGGCAAATAAAGCTTAGCACATAATAATAAAACAAATAAAACAGTTCGGACACAACCTTTAACTAATAATACCTCAGATAACAGTTTAACAGTCAACGGCAGCTCTAAACAATTGGGTTTTTAACTTTGACTTAAAGAAGTTAAGCTTTTTTTTTTTTATAAATAAAATAAAAAAACAAACAAAAAAAATAAAAGAAAAATAAAAAAACAGTCATCTAAAAGTTTCTTCCAGATAAGAAGAGCATAGGAACTAAATGCTGCTTCTCCATGTTTGGTTCTAGTTCTCGATGTATAGAGTAGGCTTGAACTAGAACTAGAACAATAAACACAGCAAAAGTGACGTCTGATCTAAAAGCCAAAACAACTTGGCTTACATTCGATACACATGGCACAATACTGGTAAGAGAGATTCAGAGGGACATGGTTCTTCCCATTATTGCCTTTCGTGAGTTCTGTTGCTCTGGTGACATCATCAACACTAACCTAGGTGATGGCATCATCAGACTTGCAGGGGTCAGAGGCCACTCAGCTTGTTAGCGGGGGATCAGACCCAGCATTTATTGCCAATGGGAAGGGAGCCAAATGCAGATTTTTAGCAGGTCAACCCGTGTTTAAAAAACCTGGGTTAACCCCCTAATTTCAGTGGGAAAGAGGCTTCAATAACTGCCTTTATGTGCCTGTGAAGGTTCTCTCTCAAAACCAAGATTTTGGCCATAATTGGTGGTTTCTGTAATAGCTGAAGCTGTGTGCTAACTCTGGATCTCTCCTCCTTTACTCAAAAGACTATTACCCCAGTTTTGTTTTTATTCAGTTGGCAACCCTCTGATGGGTTCATAGTCACCTGGTGACAATGTGATGTAAAGCTGTGTATCGTCTGCATAATTATGGTAACTGGTGTTGTTGTCTGCTATAATCTGAGCTAAAGGGATCACGTAGACATTGAATAGTAGGGGCCCCACATTGAAGCCCTGAGGAACCCCGCATGAGATTTTTCTGGTCTATGATTACAGTTCCCTACTGACACATTAAAGTCCCTGTCCTTCAAGTAGGGTTTTAACCAGTCCAGTGCTGAACCAGAAAGGTGGGCCCACGTCTACAAATTAAGTAACCAACAGTATTAAATGCTGAACTGAAGTCCAATAATACCAGCAATGTAGTTCTTTCAGAGTCTTGAATTTATATGGATGTCATTGAACAGCTTAATCGGGGCAGTATCTGTACTGTGGTGGCACAGAAACCTGACTGGAAGACATCAAAGCAGCTGGTCATTGTTGAGAATGGATTGATGGTAATCTCCCAGAAATTAGTTTTGGTACTTTGGATGTCTAGAGATGGGTCTATAGTCCTGAAGGACCAATTTGTCCAAGTTTATCTTTTTCAACAATGTTTGATAATTGCTGTTTGTAATGCCCAGAGGGACACACCTGACATCAGTGATGTCAAATCAAATCAAATATGCTAGCATTTGATAATAGTTTTTGCTACGAAAGGGGCACACCCAAATCTGTTTAGGAAGAATGTGCTTCTCTCATGGGGAATAAAATCATCACCTTGTAAGATACATGTGACTGTCTAAAAGCATAAAAAGCAAACCCAGAATAAACCTCTCTCATTTGTTCAATATACTGAATCTTCTCATTGTTTCCCTTTCTAGCAGTCACCAAAGCTCCCTTCTATTGTGGAGACGAAGACTGATGACCCCGATGATGCCTTCCAGCTCTCTCCAGCAACACGCTCCAGACGCAATCTCTTGCTACCTAATTTCACCAGCCCAGTCCGCCGTACCTCTCTGGGAAACCTGTTAGGTGACGAACTGCGGCAGTTCAATGCCCTGAGACGTTGCCGTTCACCAAACCTCAGTCGAGGATTTCTTGGACAAAGCTTATCACCTCAACCACCTTCAAAGAAAGAGCACAGCACCAATATATCCACTCCATCTCAGTCTTCAACTACAGCCAAGGGAGAGTCGGAGACTGACCAAAAGCCGGCAAAGTTGCTTATCCCAACAGTCACATGTTTTCCACCTCCGGACCTTAGTCCCAGGTATATTTTACTTTTAATCATTAAGGTTTGAAGGATGGGGTTAATTTTGGTTTAGTGTCTGTTGAGAGCGATAAATTGTAGGAAGCATGAGGGACATTCAGAGGGTTACAATAGAATTTCTTAATTTTGTTTAATTTTAAAACATTATCATTAAAAGACAATGGATGTTAACATAACAGTACTAGGGTACAATATGCCAGAATTGACCAAAAAGCCTCGTTTTCATCCTTAGTTTGTGGCAAGATATTAAAAATGCCATTTCTAAGATCCTATGAAGTGTTTCAATGCCATCAAAACAGGGATTCTATAGTACAAATCTGGATTGTTTCTTTAATGTAAATGGGATTTATCTTACATAAATTATTACAGGAGATGCCACTGTATTTCATTACTAGAGCAACTTGTCTTGCTGCCCCCACCATCTGTATCTATAATGCATTACAAAGGAAGCTCCACATATGGGTAAGGGCTAGTTCATAGAGCTCAAATATCTCATCTCATCAAAACTTGGCTCAACTCATTACATCGAAACCCACATGGGCCTCTGCCAGCTGCAGCTCTCATGGCACATTCTTGGGTCATCTTGTGTCTCTGATGATAATTGAAAAAGCTCTACTGTAACATTAACCCATGCTCTCCATCTCATCCCTCCTATCAGGGTTGTAGATGGCATCGAAGACAACGGGCACACGTTCCACTTCACCGTGGAGCACAGCAAGCCTAACTCCAGAACAGGTGGCATCAACCAAGGTAAGACACACCACCCCCAGCTGGGAGGGTGACCTGAAGGCCAGATGGCCTAGAGGTATACCGAAGAGTTCACACTGTTGATGCATTTGAGGCAGACCTGCATCCTTCTGGGGAAATCTGAGAGCGCAGCAGAAATAACAGACTGCCAGGTGTCCACAGAGTCAGAGAACATGTTAAAGGACAAATGAGGAAAGAACAGGGTCCTAAGTGTGTTTTAGTTTTTACTGATCATAGCAGTATTTCTAGGGTGAGTGTAGATTTTCCAACTATAGACAATTGCCACAAAAAACAACAACAAACAAGACCAAAATAGAAAAAGGTATTTGAAACCAAATAATCATTAATCATGGGGGGTGGAGGCCTAGTGGTTGAGGCATTGAGCTTGGAATCCAGAGGTTTTGAGTTCAAGCCCCGCTCCCTCAGACTGCTACTCTGGGTCCCTGTGCAAAGACCCTTGACCCCCACACTGCTCCCTGGGCAGCTCACAATGGCAGCCCAGTGCTTCCCAAGGGAATGGGTTAAATGCAGAGTTAATTTCGTAACTCTGTACTTGTGACAGTGTAATGACAAAAATAAAAAAAAACATTAACTAGCTTCAGAGGTCACCAACACTTACACACAAAAGGAGGATAATCTTTACCACTACTCAAACTCAATTCACCAGACCAACCTTACCAGGAACCGCTTAAGCAATCTTGCCTAGGACCTAGGAGTTTTGGATAATCAATGATTGGAACCACAACTCCTTTGAGTGAAGTTGACTGAGTTGCACAAGTTCATTACCACCCGTCCAGGTGCTGAAGAAGATATTGTCATGTCCTGCAATATGTTTGCACTACATTGTACTTTGTTCTTTCTCCTGTGGGAGTAGTCCTCTTTCTCAAAGAAACCTGGTGGTAGGAAAAACTTTAAGTGAGGGGCAAGAGATGGTTTGGAGTAAGAGCTTTCAGGTCAGAAGGTTCATCAGAAGCCTTGGTTATTGGATGGCCCTTTATTATGGCTTTCACCTCACACAAGCCCTCTTGGCTAGCATCCACAGAGTGATGCACTGATTGAAAAATGCATCCACAAAGCCTTTGGGTTTGAAACTCCAAGACACTCCTAAGGTTCTCCATCCAGCTCATCTATTGTTGGACAAGGTGTCGGGGAATGGCCTTAATACTCTTGAGATGTCAGAGTTCTTGGAGGAACCTCTCAAGTGTGGTTTATGCTTGACGCGTCTGCGAAGTCCACGCTAAAAAATTATATAATTTTAGGCTTCAACACCTCTCTGTGTGGGATCCGTGTGGAAAGAGTTTTGACATCGGATACCTAGTAACATTGTTAACTACGTGTACAGATCTGTGTTAAAAAACATGGCGAGGGAGCAGTTGCTCCTACTGGCCAGGGCTCGCAAATGTAAACATCTAGTGATCCTGTGATTTGGCTCATAAATACCACTACTATCAACATATTGTGGAAAAACTCCTGGAAAGAAATTAGTGCTGCTATTGGACGGCATGAAGAGGCTTTAAAAAAGTTGTAATTGGCTGTTTTCAAATTCCTCGTGTGGTGTATCTGGAGCCGTCCATAATGGAGGGAAAGTCACACAGTGCATAAATGCTGCAGACGCTATGACGGTCGGCTCATTTTCCGAGCGCATATTATGTGAGCACTTTAGGGTTTAAGACCACTGGTGCAAGAATTCCCAGCGGGTCATAGACTGAGCCAACTGCAGAGAGGATGCCTCCTCTTGTGGGTGATCTAGTTTTTGAACAATCTTGAATTTGAAACTGTCGTTCTACAACAACACCAACAGGATCCTAAGGCTCGCTTGACAGGGAGCTTGTCTAGGTCAAGAGTGTCTGTTTCCCTTGGCTCCTCAGTTCTCCTTAGCAGGGAGAGCAGATTGGATTGAGCGGCTGTTGCAAACCCACTTAGTGAGCCTAAATCCTCCTGGAGCAAGGATGTCTTTCAGTTCATAGGGAAGGCAAGGACAGTGCCTCCTCTTCTGAGTGATCAGATTCAGGGCAATTATTGAAGGTAATAGGTATGTGCACTCTCATACTCAGTAAGGTCTTGCCTGATGTCACCAGAGGGTCAACAGAGAACACAGAGAACTTCTGCATCCTTGTCTGGTGCCTCACTTGGTAAAACATTTTACCGGCATCCTCTTTGACAGCCACCTCCTCTTACCTGAATCTATTGATGATGCAGAGCAAAGTGTTGTTCAGTTATGGTTGCTGAAGCAGCTGGTAGCTTAATGTTGGTAATTTGTAGGATGCTTATAGTCAAAAAAGTACCACATTTTTCCATCATTGAGGTCAAGGTCGTCCTCAGGAGATTTGACTGCACAGCCCTTCGTGATCCAGTCTCTAATGAATGCAGAGTAATCAGCAGGGAAATGTGGATATTTATGAACCTCTCCTTTAAGTTGTTTAGCAACTTTTATGCTTTTTAGTATTTCAATGGCTGCTTTCCCCTGTAGTTGTTTACTGAGATAGAACAGTATGTGATAGTCTACTGAGGGACACTGTATTGTACCTCAGTGGTGGACTACTGGGTACCCTTACTGGTCTACCACCAAGGTAAGCTCGGAAAATGTGTTTTGTTTTATTTTCAATTCACATAGCAGTCTAAATCGCTACCTGATACAAAAGTACAAATACAAGTTATCATGCATTGTCATTATTTAGCTGGTATATTTTTCGTCCTAATTGCAAACTCTGGTGTAATGTTAGAAAGCCTTTTGTACCAACAGAATAGCCAGAGTTTTTGAAATTTGGTCATTGAAATAAAATCATTTAAATTAGGGCTCCTAAGTAAATATTAGCTTTGACAATGTTTTCCCATATTTAACTAAAGTATCAAAAATATATTCAGTAAGAATTCTTTGCATATTGCCCTACATTTATGTGAATTAAATCTAGAGGAAATAGCATAGCATTCTGTTTGCAGCATGTTTATATCATGTTTTGGAGTTTGGGAGTCTTATTAGGGTCTGTCAATTCTTTGTTTATTACTTTAGCCACCTAATTTTGAGAGATCTGCAATTTGAGCCAAGAATCACTGCATATTGCTTGTATATCCTGGACTGAAATTAGCGTGTTAGCTTCTGCATGTTGTACAGTGAGTGCAATTTGTATTGTTGATTTAGTAAAAAGGGCAGATAGTGTGCTTAAAATGAGCAATGAAGATGCATAGTTTTCTAAATTTGCTCATCTGATTTCTTGCTACAGAACAATAAATGTGGATTCAGGCTTATATTATAATGGTGTAAATCACCAGCTACTTATGACATTGTGATGTTGTATCGATTTGGATGATGATACAATGTTTGCCAATATCACTAAATCTGCTATTTCCATTAAGTTCAATTCAAAAGTCTTGAGTTGATATGCACTATCCTCTGTCTATTAGACATCATTTTTGACATTTATAGCAACTCATAATTAAAGACAATCAACTCGAAAATTATTTTGCCATTTTGTTTCTCTGTTTTCACAGGCATCAGGCATAATACATCATAATACATCAGCGGTTCGCTATTTCCTGGTGTCTTGTAAATTTTAAAATTAGGGTGCATCTAAAAGCTGAGGAGAAGGATCATTGTTTTTATTTAGCATCAATATAATTGCATCAGTATTCGTTTTATTAATGTATTGATGTGGATCAGTATGGTGTTACATTGCAGAGTTCACAGAATCCTGCTTTTACTGTTTTGTGTTATTTACACAGACCATGATACACATGACTCAACAGATTTCAAATGCTTTTTTGAATAAAAAAGAAAATATGCATGCCCCTTTTCAGGCCATTGTGTAGATTGTTCATTTTTTGGCAAATATTTCAGCTTTTTAAAATGTATTGAGCCATGCTGTTCAATTTAAATTATTATTCAGTTAAGCTTTCTATGGAGTATTTTTAATTTTTTTTTTTCATCCTTTTCCAGAAACCCTACAATCAAATGCCACTTTGCTGCAGGAGACGGAGGACGTCAAAGAAAGCATAGTTCAGTTAAATCTTAAGGTAAGTAATTTTATTTATTTTTTTCCAATTAATGATCATAATGTCTTACAATAATAATTGTTGCTCTAAGTGGGTTGCTCAGTCATCTAAAGACATGTTTTAAAGCCTCTACACTCCATTTAATTGGATTGATCACTATATTAGCTGACATTTATTTCAATAATCAATTAATCATGATTAATACAATTAATTGTTTCAACCCGTATGTATATATATATATATATATATAAATATATATGTGTATACATATATATATATACGTATACATATATANCACAGCTTGTGCTACTACACCCTACGACACAGCAACGGGCGACCATAACGACAGCAGAGGTAAAATGAAACGGCAAAAAACTAAGCAAACTACTAGCAGAAGAAAGCTCGTCCTTACAGGCGCGAAGTCAAAGTGTAAACAGTGGGCTGACCAGCTATCAATATGTCTGCCGCGCAACGTGTGACGTCATGTGCCCGAGCCTTATTAAGCTTCTTACTAAAAATAACATAAAAAAGAATTTTATTAGCAAATAAAAAGTTCAGGTCTTTATGGAGCACATTCGTTTTTAAATTTCCGATAAAAGTAAAATTTATTTCGTCAACAAATCCCACTTTTATCTGGTTCATTCAGTCAGATCATGGTTAGAATAATATGCTTACTCTGGTTGTATTGGGAGTTTATATAAACTTTACATTTTTATTAAATGAAGTTAACAAACTTTTAGTTTTTCTGAGCAAGAGTTAAAGTTTCCATCCAGCAATTTTGCTGAAGTCCAACTTTCCAACTATAGGAGCTTTTTAACCCTCAGGCTGGTAATGATGCTCAGCACAGCTCTACATGTCAAGAGAAAAGTTTATGTCCAGCTTGTTAGAATAGAAATTTGGCTTTACAGTGACGCAGTGGGTAGCACAGCAAAAAGGTTCTGGGTTCGAGCCCCGGGTCTTTCTGCATATAGTTTGTATGTTCTCCCTGTGCATGCGTGGGTCCTCTCCGGGTACTCCTGTGTTGTCAGATGAGCATACCCGGTCA